CACAGATTTTTCACATCCCTATCTGAGGCTATTTCCAGAAAGCTGGAAAGTGGAGGTTGCCAACAAATATGCTTGGATTAAGTTGCCTGGCATTCCCAAACATTGTGGGTGTGTCCGTCTAGGAATGTGGCTCATTTCCAAGGAGGCACTTGAACTGCAGAGCTATATAAGAAGCCTGGGATGTTCCCATGCAAAGAGTTCTTAGTCAATGCTAAAAGTAAATCAGTGCAATAGGGTATGGGGATCCCCTACTGTGCAAATAATAGAAAGCCACCTGCAGATTGGTTGTGGTTCGTCACAAGATTGTATGGTCTTAGTTGCTTTCGAGAAAACGGCAAACTGATCTTATACATATTTATTTAGAGGAAAATCCTACTTCAGTCAATAAACATGTTCATAGGCTTGTGCTCTGTTTGACCTAGTCAGATCTGAGAACAGTTGAATTGTCTTTTTGCTGCTCCATTTAAACATTCAAGTATTTAAACAAAGACTTTATGTGAAATGAATTTTTAAATTCTCCCTAGCTAACTTAGTTTTGGTCTTTGTAGGCATTTGAGCAACTGAAGACTTGTTTTTCTAAAAAGAAATATTGAGAAGAAATCTCAAGAAGATATCTGTACACAGATTTACAAATATACACATTGGCCACAGATTATGTAATGTAATAGCTATAATTCATATCTGGTACAGCTTATAATTAAATTTCCGAACTTGGCTTTTCATTGCCACCTAATGATTAGTTTGCAATCTGGCATTTTGAAATGATGGAAAAAATGAAAGAAAAACTAATTGTAAAATTCAGAATCCCAATTGCCATTATTTTAGATATATAGATCCATGGCAGAGCTGCTCTTCTGCCCTATGAGTAGTGCACCTGGGTTCACTGATCTGCTGATAGATAGATAGATAGATAGATAGATAGATAGATAGATAGATAGATAGATAGATAGATAGATAGATAGATAGATAGATAGATAGATAGATAGATAGATAGATAGATAGATGTAAAATGCAAGGAAAAGTACTAATCATAATGAAAATGCTACCATATTTATCTCCCTTAAATGAGTATCCTGCTCTTAGCAGAACATTATGTCCTTTTTTCTGTCTTGCTTATTCCTCTCTCTCCTTCTGTTATTGTTATGAACCCACAGTAGAGGCTTTTCAGTTTCACAGCTTTCTATGGGATTTTCTGGCTTTCTTCTTCTCTCTCTCAGGATTTCCTGGCCAGCAAAATGTCCTTCATTTCTTCCTACAAAATCTTGTGCATAATCCCTTGGGTACGATGGAGGAATTGATGACATTCTAGACTGGATTCCATAGCACCTGTTGTCAATTTCAGATTCCTACACTGAGTGACTCAAGCATTTGAACCTGAGCAGGATAAAAGTCTGGCAAAAAGGATACACCAGTTCTCTGGAAGCTGATACTTCCGGCTCAAGCCAGGTAACACTGTCAAACTTAATGTTGTGCAGGAAATCTGTGACAAGGGAGAAAAAAAACGTGCTTAGCATTTTCTCCACTGCTCCCCCCCCCCAATCTCTCTGTCTTCATCAGGGCACATCAGAGTGAAATATCAGAAGTTACCTGCATTTTTTAAATTTCTGAGTACTTGTTACACCTCTACTTCATGTAGTACTTTACCAATATTATGGGAGCAGCTGTCTATAGATTGTATAGATAGATATGGGCTGACTTTACCACTGGGCAGAATGAGGCAGTTGCCTCACATACCTAATCTTGGACGTGATGAAAGAGGAACAAATGTTTAGTTCACATTTGATATAATGAAAATTGGAATTCTGAATGCTACAATTAGTTTTTCTTTCATCTTTTCCATCTTTTCAAGATGCCAGATTGCAAACAAATTATTAGGTGGCAATGAAAAGCCAAGTTCAGAAATTTAATTACTGTATTTTTCCGCCCCCCACTTTTCTAATCCAAAATTAAGAAATCTAAGTGGGGTTCAGCAAGTGTAGGGGGAAAGGAATAAAAGCGCTGCAGAATCGCTCTGATCCCTGCTTTCCCATCCATTTGTTTTTGTTCTCTCCTCAGCTTACTTCCATGTATAAGATGACCCTCAATTTTTAGTCTAAAGATTTTAGACAAAAGTGTAGTCGTATACACGGAAAGTTATGGTATATGCTGTACCAGATATAAATTACAGCTCTTGCATTGCATAATCTGTGGCCAATGTGTATATTTGTAAATCTAGGTACAAATATCTTCTTCTCGAGATTTCTTCTCAATTATTGTTGCTGTATTTTTACTGGCAGAGAACGAGAGACACATCTGAGGGATTTTCTGCATCATGGGTCAGAAGTACCCTACCAATATTATGAATCTGACTTTGGAGATGGGGCAGCATTGGCTGCTTCGGACTATAGTAGTAGTAAGAACAAGCTCAGGGTGTGTCAACCATGTTTGGGTCCTGCCATTTACCATTGCAGGTAGAGCTATGCAAGTTACTGAGATGAATGAGAGAGAGAGAGAGAGAGAGATGTCCCGTCTCCAAAGAGACAGGGGCTACCCAAGTTACTGTTCTGCCTGGAGCAAAAGGCAAGCAGCCATCCAACCCCCAGCCCACCTCACAAGCTGTGTGGCACTTAAATGGCAGAGGAGAATGGCTGTGGAGATCAGAGGCAAAAGGTGGCATGGGTAGAGAGCCATGCCCTGTCTGTGTGCTGCTTCTTCACTTGGCTCTGTGGCGCTTCTCCATTCTGGTGCTTGATTTCCAAAAGGAGAGCTTCCAGGCTTCACACCTCCCTCCCATAACTTTTCCTCCACTAACAGTCCTCAGTATTATCCAGCAGATTGGCAGGGTTACTGAGTCAGGAGAGAAAGGAAATCTGCATGTGCTCAGAGGAAATGTGCTTCGTCTACGCACTAAAGGGCTGAAACATGGCTTGTAAGAAGAGAGTTCTCAGCTTTCCTGGCACCGGTTTAAAAAATTCATTATTTGTTAAACAGAAATAACAACAGCCCGCAGTACAGGTTTGTCGCAAGGCCAAACACACACAGTCAGGCTGTAATTTGATCCACTGACGTTCCAGAGGAACTTAATTCAGAGAAACTAGCCGTCCTAACTCGAGGCTTTGAGGAGGCACACATCATCCTCAAAACAAACCTGCAAGGTAGATTGTAGGCTAATACCGAAAGTGTCCTTGATCACTTTGGTTTAAGAACTTAGACTGAATTTATTCAATACCCTCTTGAACTGTATCTTCCATCTAAGACGATGCTTCTTGGGTGATCTGCTCTATGGTCCCTGTGGAGCAAACAGAAGCTTTGAGGAAAATTCAGCCTGAGAAAACAGTACTATGCATGTATTTTAAAAGGCCACCTCCTCTAGTACCGCCATTGACACATGGTCACATATCTGCTTTCAGGTTTGGGACCTCCTCCCCAGGCCCTGGACTCTCTCAACACCACGGCTAAGCTGTGGGGCAGACACTGTGGGGCAGAAACAGCCGCCCCCCTTGGGGATTCCTCCTGTGCAAACCCCTCCAGTCCGCTCCTCACCGCTGGAGGAAAGAGCTGTGTGTGCCTTCTGCAGCCTGGGAGCCAACCGTGGGGTGAGGGTGAATGGGGGGGACACATACCACAGTCCACAATTTTGGCGGAGTTTCCTACTCCCTCTCCCCAGTCATGAGCTACCCCTAAGGTATGGGCAAGTCTAACCCAACTTATAAGGATAAACCACCATCATCAGCTTAGAACTGCACAGCTGGAAAGGACCCTATATATGGTCAAGTCCAGCCTCGATCAAGGAGGCACTGTGGGAGGAATCTAACTCCCAACCGGTGGCTTCCACAGCCAGAGACCTCAACCCCAATGTGGCAGAGGATGGCCTTCAGTGGTTTTTAACTTAGGTTTAAAAATGTTTTTTGAATTGTTCTTGAACTTGATTTTTAAATTTTCATATATTATAAATATAATATATAAATCTCATGTATGTTTAATTTTTTTAAAAAAAATGATATTGATATAGTGGTTTTAAAATGTTGTTTTGTCTGTTGTCAGCCTCCTTGTGAGAAAAGTGGCGTACAAATTATTTAAATAAATAAAGGCCTTTCATCAAGCGAGGCCTTTCTCTCAGTCCGGCCACCCTCACAGGTGCGCTTGGTGGGGACACAGGAGAGGGACTTTCTCTCTTGCTGCTCTGAGACTCTGGAACTCCCTCCCGCCGGAGGCCAGGCTGGCCCCATCTTGGCTCTTTCCCCAAGCAGGCAAAGACCTTTCTCTTCAGACAAGCTTTCCCACAGTGACTGCCTAGATATGAAGAAGACTTTCAGATCCATTGTTATTGCATTAAGCGCTCTGACTGGGTCTTTAGTACTACTGTACTTGTGTTTTCCATTTCTCAGAGGGGCATTTTATTTCTTTTTTTAATATCTGAATACATATTGTGCTTAGTTTTAATATTGCCTTTTAATAATGTGAGCTGCCTCGTTCTGTTCATTGTCCTTAGCGTTAAATATTGTGATGTGAAGCGCCCTTGTGTACTCCTTGCTCTCAACTTCCAATACAAGTACTGTCTTTCACTGTTGTAAGCCGCCTTAAAACCCACCAGTTTTAAATCTACTAATTAAAAGAGTGTCGTGCTGTGCTTACAGGAGTATACTCAGGACAAAGACTCTATAGACCTGGATCTTGGTATATGCCATCAGCTTCTTATTAACCCATATTCTCTTTGTGAGTCTAGAGAACATGGTAGCTGCTGAGAAGAGAGGTGTCACGGTAGTTATTGCAGTTGCACCTGTCTCCTTTGTTCTTATACAATGTGACAATGTTTGCATCCTTCTTGTCCACCTTCCCTCCAGCAAAGAAAAAAGATTTCATACAGCTCAGTGGCCGCCGGTTCCCTCCCTCGCGCCGGCTGCGGGTGCGAAAGGCGCGCGCGCGGAGCCCAAAGAACAGGTCCCGAGGCAGCGCTGCGCTTACCTGGGGCTTCCCGCGCTTCTCGCCCCGGGCTTTCCCCGGGCGGGGGCGGGGGCGCGCCTCTCTCGGAGACCGGGAGGCATTTCAGCCCCGCGCCGGGCGGGGTTTGGGCCTGATGTCACAGGAAGCGAGGAGGGCTCCCCATTCGGAGCTGCCGAGCGGACGCGGCTGCCGAGGCTTTCCGCGCAGCGCAGCGGAGCAGAGCCGAGCGAGTCCGCCCCTGCCTCAGGCCAGCGGGCTGCTGCTCTTCTTGTGCCTGCCGCCAGGATTGGACCCCGCTCCTGGGATCCCCGGAGAGAGTCTCAACGTCGCCCTGGCTTGATTCCCCCACCACCACCACCACCACGGGGCAGCTGGAGAGCTCCGTCCCAGCCCAGGAAGCACCCGCGCCCCCCCACCCCGCCGGATTGTACACGCCTCTGATTTTACACACATCTGACTTGCCTCTTTTTTTTAAACTTTTCAAACTGCATCTTAGAAAGGGGAGCAGCCTGCGGTGAGTACCGGGCTCTGCGCCCGATCCCGTATCTTGCGGTCCGCAGCGATCCTGGGAAGAATGCGGCCGGTCCACTTTCCTGAAGTTCTTTGCCGGGGCAAGGACGCCGGGCTTTGCCGAAAGGGGAGCGGGGTTGGGATATTTTTCTTTTTCTTTTTGGCTTCCACTTTAGGAACCCCAGCCTTGGTGAGAGAATATGATGAGAGAGAAGGGGGCGTGCGTGCGTGTGTATGAGAGAGAGAGAAAGAGAGAAAGAAAGAAAGAGAGACCGACCTCCCCA